AATGGAGCCTGCTTCAGATTCTGTCTCCCTCTCTCTCTCTACCCCCGCCCAAAATAAACAAACATTAAAAAAAGTTTTAATAATAAAATATGTATTTTATACAGACGAATTTGGAGATGGGAGCAGGAAGGTAAAAAAGGGGTTCAGGCCTGAGTTCTCTTCTATGAAATGATAACCTGTTGGGAGGATGTTGAACATCAGCTGAGGGCTAGAGGGTAAGAGTGAAGATGTGCAAAAAGCAGAGGAAGGAAACATACAAAGATTTCCAAACACTGTTCATGACCCAGTTAAAAGACGGAAACCAGGGAGCCTGGGTGGCTCAGTCGGTTAAGCATCCAACTTCGGCTCAGGTCATGATCTCACGGTTCGTGGGTTTGAGCCCCGCATCCAGCTCTGTGCTGACAGCTAGCTTAGAACCTAAAGCCTGTTTCAGATTCTGTGTCTCCCTCTCTCTCTGACCCTCCCCTGCTCACACTGTCTCTCTCTATCTGTCTCTCTCCCTCTCTCTCTCTCTCAGAAATAAATAAAACATTTAAAAAAAATTTTTTTAAAAAGATGGAGACCAAGAATTTCTGGTGATACCATCTACATAACCAAATTATTTTCCCTAGCACACCTCAGAAATTTAAGTTTAGGAATTACAAGGAGAGGTGTTTGAAATAAGCCATGTTGAATGGTCTGCAGAACCAGAGTTAAGACCAACACAGTAAAGGCTTTGAACCACTCACTTTCTAAACTCTTTAAAAAGACTTGGTTGTGGGGCGCCTGGGTGGCTTAGTCGGTTAAGCGTCCGACTTTCACTTAGGTCATGATCTTGCGGTTCGTGGGTTCGGGCCCCGCGTCGGGCTCTGTGCTGACTGCCAGCTCAGAGCCTGGAGCCTATTTCAGTGTCTATGTCTCCCTCTCTCTCTGACCCTCCCCTGCTCACGCTGTCTCTCTCTCTCTCTCCTAGAAATAAATAAAAATATTTTAAAAAATTAAAAAATAAAAATAAATAAAATAAATAAAAAGACTTGGTTGTAAGGCTGGGCACATTTCGCTCTGAACTTACACAGTCTCATGCCTTAGCTCAGTTTCACTAACAACTACAGACTTAATTGCTACCTTATACATTACCATTAGTACATCCTTATGATCTAATAAGAGATACATAAGTGAATCAAATTCTTACAATTTTGTCATTTAACTTAAGACTAGACAAAACTAATGTTTCCTATCATTTGGTCTCATCCTTTTAATACACTGCATTAAATACTACACAACAAACTCACCTTCAAAAAATTTTAGGGGCGCCTGGGTGGCTCAATTGGTTAAGCATCTGACTTCAGCTTAGGTCATGATCTCACAGTTCGTGGGTTCGGGCCTTGCGTTGGGCTCTGTGCTGACAGCTAGCTCAGAGCCAGGAGCCTGTTTCAGATTCTGTGTCTCCCTCTCTCTCTGACCCTCCCCTGCTCATGCTTTGTCTCTCTCTCAGAAATAAATTTAAAAAAGAAAACATTAAAAAAAGTTTTTTTAATTTTATAGTTCATAAATTTCTAGCAAGAAACATTAGTTTTTTTCTCCTTTAAACATTTTCCAACTTATGCCGGTAAATTTTAATGTGAGCAAACTAAGGAAAAAAATCTTCATACTCTTTATATCACCTTTATTTTAAAAAAAAATTTTTTTTTTTAACATTTCTCCATTTTTAAGAGAGAGAAGAGAGACAGACCATGAGCCAGGGAGGGCCAGTGAAAGAAGGAGACACAGAATCCACAGCAGGCTCCAGGCTCCTAGATGTCAGTACAGAGCCCAATGCGGGGCTCAAACTCACTAACCATGAGATCATGCCCTGAGTCAAAGGTGGACACTTAACCAACGGAGCCACCCAGGTACCCCTTAAAACTACCTTTAATTAAAAAGAAAAAAAGTGGGGGGGGGGGCGCCTGGGTGGCTCCGTTGGTTAAGTGACTGACTTCGGCTCAGGTCATGATCTCACAGTTTATGGGTTCGAGCCCCGCGTCGGAATCTGTGCTGACAGCTAACTCAGAGCCTGGAGCCTGCTTCAGATTCTTTGTCTCCCTCTCTCTCTGACCCTCCCCTACTCATGCTGTCTCTCTCTCTTCTCTCTCAGGGATAAATAAAAAACATTAAAAAAAAAAAAACTACCTTTAATACTGAACACCATCTATACCTTCATAGATTCTCCAGGGTAAACAGGAAAATCCCTGATCTCTCTTAAAACAAAAACAAAAACAATACATTTCTGGGGCAGGGGTAGGGAACACTGAGCTCTAAGAAGTAGGGTTGCCTATTACACATAGACCACTATTAAACAGGATAATTTTTCACATTGTCTGTAATAAAAGTTAAAGTGGTTTAATAACTCTTTCTCTAGGCTTGGAGATGTGAATTTTTTTTTAATTTGACGCTAATTTTTTTATTTTTGAGAGTGTTTTTTTTTAATTTTTGAGAGAGTGAGAGAGAGAGAGCATGAGTTGGGGAGGGGTAGAGAGAGAAGGGGAAACACAGAATCGGAAGCAGGCTCCAGGCTCTGAGGGGTCAGCACAGAGCCTGACATGGGGCTCCAACCCAGGAACCACGAGATCATGACCTGAGTCCAAGTTAAATGCTTAACTGACTGACCCACCCAGGCACCCTAGAGATATAAATTTAAATCCTAATAGTTATTCAAACAAGAGTTCATAGAACAAAATAAAAGTTAGGAGCTTTCAGGGGCGCCTGGGTGGCTCAGTCTGTCCGGCATTGGACTTCGGCTCAGGTCATGATCTCACAGTTGTGAGCTTCAGATTCTTTGTCTCCCTCTCGCTCTCTGACCCTCCCCTGCTCACACTGTCTCTCTCTCTCCTCTCTGAGAAATAAATAAAACATTAAAAAAAGATTTTTTTTTAAAAGTTAGGAGACTTCATCCACAAATGTGGCTTTAATTACGGTCTATTTGCAGCTAACTCACAGCTTGAAATCGGAACCCAGACTTCTCCTTTGATCTCCAAAACCAATTTTATAATTTAACACTCATCTCAGCCAATCCCATCAACCCTTCCCCCATCACTCCCACCTTATCCTGGCCATATCTCAATATTTGACACAACCATTCATCCAATAATCTAACACCAGACACCTTCTTGCCTTGATGTTCCACATCTAACACATTAGTGGTGTAAGAATAATGTAAAATTAATGTATAAGTATAATGATTTTACCTCTTAAATATTTCTCCAATCAGTCTGTATTTTTCTATATCCATCAACACCTCCTTGTTCCAAAATATTATCATCTTTTGCCTGGCAATACTGCAATGGCTTACTAATTAGCATCCCTGACATACTGCCACTTCTCCCTCCCCATCCTGCTGACAAAGCTGTTCTCCACTCTGCTAAGAGTGATCTTTCTGAAACACAAATCTTACCCCTTTTTCAATGATTTTCCAAAGCTCAGGAAATAAATCTTTTATACATACTGGCATTTAGTTTCCTGGAAATGCCAAGCTTTCTCCAGCATTACCTTTCCACATGCCTTTCCCTCAACTGAGAGGCCTTCTCTTTGCCTAGTCAACTTTAATTCGTCTTCAGATCTTAGCTCTATCAGAACTTCCTCAGGGAAGCTTTCCCCAGCTTCACTAACAAGATCAGATACCATTACTGTATGCTTTCAAAGCATGTTAGTACATATCAGTTTTACTTTTATTCGTGTGGCCAAATGAATTTTGTCTGCCTCCCTCTTACATAAGAGGCAGAGGTTAAAAAAAAAATGTTTGGGTTCACTAAGATTCCACCCAGCACAACAGGTTAATGCCCTGATAAATTCTCAATGAGTTAAGTGCCCACTGGAATATTTACCAGGCAAAACAACAATAACCATTTAATGAACAGCAGTCTATAGCATCAATGTCCAAAAGAACTTACTGTGATTATGGAACTATTCTATATCTGCACTTTCCAACAGTAGCCACTAGTCAAGTATGGCTATTGAGCACTTAGTACAACAGAGGCGCTGAATTTTTAATTTAACTAACTAAATAAGATGTAAAGAGCCACATGTGCCTAGTGTGACTGTACTGAACAGCACAGGTCTATATAAGTCTTTTCTCTGTCGTTTCAATTGTACTTTCTTGTATTTTGTTACTCTGCACAGTTTACATCTTGTCTATGGAGCAGTCCTAGATAATAAATCCTAGGCTTCTTTTGGTCCCCAAAACGTGTCCCCGGCGCACAACAGAAACTTAATAAACGTCTTACGATTTGATATCTGAATTGTATACAGCAAACTTCCTTTTTTTTCCCCTGAGAAGCTAATGAATTAAATGTAGTTATTTTTAAAACGGTCTTCAGGAGCCAACCATAAAATCGTCTCTTCCTCCACTGTGTTAATACCTTGTGCTTTCTAGTTTTCCGGACTGTTTGCAATCGCCGCATAAGCCTCCTGCTACCGACTGGGGACCCCTTTATTGCAACAAACGAGGGTCCGGCGAAGTACAAATGTGCGAGGAGCCTCTGGAGACTAACCATGTAGTCCATAATCCACAATGATCCCTCAAAAAGAGCCGTGCGCTTCAGACATACTAATCTAATGGTCTCCCCAACAAAACAGTCCCCGGGGAACCCGTCTCTCCACTCCCACACCGCCGTTTTCCCCTCCTGCAGAGCACGAGGAGCCGCACCTCCTTCCCAAAGCGTTGCTTAACCACACCCACTGGGAATACCGGCTCTCGGAACATCTGGTGTAATTCAAAAAGCCCGGGACCCACCGAAAGGGGTAAACAAGAGACGTCTTTGCCAGCAAGAACGGGAAACTTGGCGTCGTCAACCAGAACCTGAACAAGAATGGGGGCCCAGGATGCGAGATGGCCCCTGCAAGGCTTTAAAAGCGCGCTTATTATTGGCCGGGCACCGTGACCCGCGGCAAGCAGGAGGCAAGCGGGGCAGAGAGCAGGCGGGGCGCCCAGGGACCACCCGTCCCCCTGCCCGACGGCAGCCCACATCTCTCCCCTCCTGGCTCACCTTCTCCGGGCCGGTCAGCTTGTCCTCCGGGAAGAAGTGCCTCGGGAGAGACGACGGAAGCAAACTCCGGCCGGGATGCGCCTGCAGCCAGGCCTCGGCCTCCTCGTCGTCCTCGTCCTCCGTACTCTCCCGTTGCTGCCTCTCGTAGTTAAAGTCCGAGTCCAGCTCCCGCCCCTCCTCTTCCTCCAGCTCCTCCACCACCACCACCACCTCGTCCTCTTCCTGGTTCGCCGGCTCCTCCGCCTGTTCCTCCTCCTCCTCCTCCTCTTCCTCCTCCTCCTCCTCCTCGAGCTCGCCGGGCCACGGCAGGTCCTCAGGCTCCATGTTAGCGTCTCGCTCTAGGAGGCAGAGGAGGAGGGGGGAGAGGGGAAAGGGGAGGAAGGGTAGGGGAAGAGAACTGACTGGCGGTTGCGGCCGCGCGCAGGCGCAAAGTACGCCGCGGCCTCGCGCCCCGCGCCGCGCCGCGCGGACGGGGCGGGGCAGGGAGTGAGAGCGCGCGTTGCTAAGGACGCCCCGCGGGGAGGCCGCAGGTGTGGCGGGGCCTGGCCAGGGAGTGGCGTCGCCAGCGTCACCCGCTGGGATCTTGCTCACAGTACTGAAAGCTCACAATAAACCCGGACTGGGGTCTTCTCGAGGGAGCGGAGAATTTCGTCCTCCGCTGGGTCATGCCAAAACTGAATTTTGCCTTTGCACCGAGAGATCAGCCTCTAGGACAAACCTATGATAATCATACTTGCAAATTATAAAGTTTTAAAGGTTGAGTGCCTGCTGTGCGACAGGCTGTATGATGGGCACTTGAATCTAGCAGCGAAAAAGTGGTCTGGAGAGGTAGAGGAGTTAAGCTGGTATCAGAAAAATGGAAGTTTGAATCCTGACATCGCGACTTAACAGCAGTGTGACTGAGCCTCTATAAAAATGAGTATGGTGGTGATAATTAAAGCAGATAACCAACGTAAAGGACTTAGTGGTAGTTATTAGTCATTAATTATTGTGCAGTAACTCATTAAATGCGCACAGTTCTGTGAGATTAGCATTAATACTATTTCATATTTGAAGAATCTAGTGCTCAGAAAAATAACGTGCCCAAAGCCTCTTAACAAGTATTTGGCTGGCTGGGCAATCCCAAATCTTCTATAAATCCAGTAAATTGCCGTGGCCCACCTATAAGCTAATAAAGGATAAAGAGCAAGTATTTGTACTGATAGTACCTATATTATTAGTTTGGTCAATGACTTTGAAAAGCTTTGGAAATAAAACTTTCCTGATTAATTCAGGAACTCCTATAAAATAAATAGCAAATTAAAGAATCTTGAAATGCTTTGATATTACCTAAGGAGATAGCCATAATTAGAATCCAGCAAAAATTCTTCATAGTATCTATCCACAATAGCAGAGATAAATTGGTAGTGATATTGAACATCGGCAAGGTAATTTTTAGGGGCACTGCCAGGGATGTTTGTCCTATCTGCCAATGACCCAATTCTAGCAAAACTATAAAGACAGAACATGGACTAAAGCCCAAAGCTTCAGAGCTCCCATGAACATCTCTAAATGGACTATAAGTGTATTCAAACACCACTCTTCTTACGGCAAGTTGAAGCTTTTCCTTGCTGGAGAGCTATGGGTATAATGATAGAAAAAGAAAGTTGCTTGATTTTGTATTCCTGACTGGAGAAATCCAGTAACAGGGACACACATTTCATTGATACTATTATTAAATAATTCTGTAAACCTTTGCCATTTACTTAGAAACTCCACTATCCTTAGCATCCACAAATTTCAGGAAAAGTAAAGGGAACTAATGGAATTCTAAAACTAATTGTCAGCGCTCTCATAAACTCTCCAACCTCTAAGGCCCAAAGTATTTCCATTTGCCTTGATAGCAAGGGCATCATTCTATTGTAGGACCCACACGTTATCTCCTCCTGAGTTAATAACAGCCTGCCTCATGTACTTGGGAATTATTTCCAATATAGATTCTACCTTAAAACAAGCTGATATGACTAATTGCTTCAGGGGACCCACACTACAACTCCTACTTTATCAACAATTGGCAGAAGCTGCATTTCCAAAGCACCTACCTAAGCAGCTTCTGAAATCCAGAGATTTGGTCTTTAAACAAGCATCAGAAAAAAATTTTCCTTGATCCTCAATGGAAAAATCTCATCAAGCACTGTTAAGGACAACCCAACAGTTAAACTCCAAGGCTTTGATTCTTGGATTCATGTTACCCAACCAAAAATACATGCAGCACTTTCTTCTGGGATACTGGATGTCTAATCCATTGCAAGACCTCAAACCAAAGATTCTTGGGAATTCTCCAGAGCTGCTGACTACATAAATAGATAGAGTATGCCCATTACAAAAGAACAAGATTAATTTTCTGAGTCTTCAGTATCCTTTACCCTACCCCTAATCTTGCCTATTATTGTTCTATGACAATCCTTTTAACTAACAAAATGATTTCTCTATATGATCCCCTTTGTCTTCATACTGTTACTTTTGACTCCCTGTGCTCTTCTGCCACTTAAGAAAAAGCAATTTTAAAAAAGAAAGAAAAGAGAAGAACAGAAAAACAATATGCTCTGGCGTGTTTTTCTCAAACCATAGCTACTGCTCTTAATTTAACGGCTTTTCAGCAGCTTCCACATTCCAAGTCAGTAGTCTGAAAGATAAGCTGATGTTCCCCGAGTCTCAGCCTCCCAAAGAACAAATTGGAGTTCTCCTTCAACCACATCATCCTTTAAGCAAATGGCTATGGGGCACCTGGGTGGCTCAGTAGGTTAAGTGTCGAACTTCAGCTCAGGTCATGATCTCACAGTTCATGGGTTTGAGCCCCGCGTCGGGCTCTGTGCTGACAGCTAGCTCAGAGCCTGGAACCTGTTCGGATTCTGTGTCTCCCTCTCTCTGACCCTCCCCTGTTCACGCTGTTTCTCTCCCTCTCAGAAATAAAGCAAAACAAAACAAAAATACCACAAATAGCTGTATCCTTGAATTCTGCCAATATATCCCTATATATTTTCACTCATTCTCCTTAGGAACCCAAACACAAGATAATGTGGAAGGTGGCCCTGGTAGAGAAAAGGAGATCAGTAAGGAGGTAACAACATTACTTAGACAATGAATGTAGATGCAGATAGTGGTGTGGAGATAGGAGAGTACAGATGCAAAAGCTACATGGAGGTGACATCAATAGGACCTGATGACTGGGTATAGGGAGGAGAGGGAGAAGGAAGGAATAAGATAAATCCCACACTTTGGTTGGGGCAGCCCAGCTGATGATAGAAATACAGAAGTAGGAACAGGCAGCTCTTTAGGGAAAAGTCATGAGTTGCGTTTTGAGCATATTGAGCTTTAGCTGCCCAAGACATATCCAGTTAAGGATGTCCAGTTAGCAGTTATAGATGCAGGTCTGGGACTCGGGGAAGAGGGAGGGATGAACTGCTGACAACAAGCACATAGGTGTTGGAGAAAGTCACAACTCAGTGCAACACAGAAGTGGGCCGTGGACGGAATCCTGAATAATATGCACATTCCAAAAGAGGAAGAGGAGAGCACAGACAGAAAAACTACCAGAGAAATAGGAAGAGAACACAAAAAGAACAGTGATATAAAATATGGGAAATCAACTATAGTTGACTCAACAACAGTTTGAACTGCATGAGCACTTATACATGGATTTTTGTGGGGTAAATACAGTACAGTACTACAGAAGCATATTCTCCAGCTTACTTCATTGTAAGAACACAATATGTAATACACATAAGATACAAAATATGAGCCACCTGGGTGGCTCAGTTGGTTGAGTGTCTGACTTCAGCTCAGGTCATGATCTTGTGGGTTCTTGAGTTCTGTCCCTACATGGGGAAAGGGGGGATGGCAGAGCTGATAATATGGAGCCTACTTGGATCCTTTGTCTCCCTCTTTCTCTACCCTTCCCCCTCTCTTTCTCCTCAAAAATAAATAAACATTTAAAAGTATGTGTGTGTGTGTGTGTGTTAATTGACTAGGTTACCAGTAAGGCTTCTTCTGATCTACAGTAGGCTATTAGCAGTTAGGTTTTTGAGAAGTCAAGTTACATATGGATTATCAACTGCATTGGGGGTAGGCTATCCTAACCTCCACATTTTTCAGGGGCCAACTATAGTTTCAAGATGGGAAAGGCCAAAAGCATCGAATGATGCAGAAAGACAGAATAAGAACTGACAAGCATCTAATGAATTTTGCCTTAAGAAATTATTAGTAACTTGCACGAGAAATTATTTTGATGGAATGGTGGGAGCAGACTATAAACAAAACAGTTGGGAAATGATTAAAGGTGAGGCAAGTGAGACGTTGAGTGTAGAAAGAATGATATAAGCCATGAAAGGGGGGAAAAAAAGATAAGATAGTGACTAGAACAAGAAAGGAACCATGGGAGTTTGTCATTGTTGTTTTCAATATGTTAGACAATTGAGTTTATTATGCGAAGATTGACCCAAAGGAAAGAAAGACATTAAAAGAAAGCCAAAAAGACAATTGATAAAAGCAGAGAGGCTGACAGGGTATTCAGTTGGAAGGATTATCCTCAGAAGTATGTGGATTTCTCACAGAGGAGAGAAAAGACAGGTATCGATAAAGATCTTCTATTCAGGTGAGTGGAGGAAGAAGTTGACTGAATTCATGTTTCTTGGGTTTTATTCATGTTAATCAAAATGTAGTCTGCAAACTAGGATCATCAGAATCACCTGAGGTATATATTTTATGAAGAATCCCAGCTGCCATCACCCAGAGAATAAGATTTTGGAAGTCTGGGTTGGGACCCAGGAATCTGATCTTTAAACTAGCACATGTACCACCCCCCAAGTATGGTGAGGCACCATAACAGTTGAGAACCACTCCTTTTTTCCCTCTGTGAAATATCAAGGACAATACAGTGCTTCCCCACCCCCCATAGAAAGCCATCCTTCTACCTACCACCTACCAGCCAAGGCATGGACATGTGACCTAGATTTACACCTTTGGATACTCCCGTCTATGACTTTGACTCTTAAGGGAGTGAAGTAGAAACAATTCAGAACTTACTACTCAAAGCATAGTATGGGGACTGGTAGCATCACCTGAGAGAGCTTCTCAGGAATGCAAACTATCAGGCCCCATCCAAACCTACTAGATCTGCACTTTAACAAGATATCCAGATGGCTCTGAGACACATTAAAGTCTGAAATGCACTGGCTTGGAACATATTCGTAGTGGTAGAGTCAAGAGTTTTGCAATAGCAACCGCCAACGGAACACGTAGCATGACCTCAGTCGTGGGTTCTGTTCCCCAGCCTTCCTTGATTC